GTACTGGGGATTGAACCGAGGACCTCATGCATGCTAAGCACGTGCTGCACCGCTGAGCTATACCCCACCCCCTCAGATCGTCCTTTTATATAGGCTTGTTATTGATTGCTGGTTTTAATTGGACCTCAGATGCACAGAATTGGGTTAACCGTAATCCTTGGTTCATGAGACGCTTCCACCCTGGTCCATGCATAGTCTGCTATATTTGGTTAGCTTTTCTAATTAGTTATTTTTAACCATGGAATAAGCATCCACACACTCACTCCCCAAAACCAAAGCTAGGACTTGACAATAATCCGCATCTAGCACGTGGCTTTCCCCCAACACCAGTCCCTTCCCTGCCTCTCTCCCCCTGAGGAACCCTCACCTACATCCTGTGCCCATCGCTCCCTAAGTAGACTATCTTCCTCTCTGTCCGAATGCCAACGACTATTTCAGAGTTTCATGGAATTTAGTAATATGCAGTCTCACACTCTAGCTGGCCAATGGGATTGTCGATTGTCATTTTAAAAAAAAATTGAAGATTTCAATTTCCAATTCTAGAACTTTAGCAGAAGACAGGAATCTAAGTCAGGGTGTTATCAGCAAAACTGGGGTGTGGTAACCCTCTCATTGCCCAGAATCAAACGAAGAAACAAACTTGTCAGTGAAGATGCAGCTGTTTTACATAAATTGCTCTTACGAGCATCTCCTTGTCAGGGAGACTTTGCTCTCAGGACTCCTCCCAGAGTAGAATTCACTTCTCTGTGGTGGGAGATAAGGACAGCATCAAGATTAGGCAATAAAAGGCAGTATCGCTGGCATCATCTCTGGGAGACAAACATTTCACTTGAAAGGGAACATCTGAGCCCAGCACCCAGGTATCTTGTCCATTTAACACACAACCAACATCTGGGGGCTTCAGACCAGCTTTGTTCACTTCGCAGCCAGATGTTTTGCTGTTTTAAGATGTCAGCCAGAGGTCCCTCCCAGTGAGCAATGGAAACATGATTGCAAAGCAAGAAAAAATAGATTGCAGAGTCCTTCCCACCTGCCTTCTCCACCCATGCGAGCACAGATGATACAGATGTACGTCTGCACGGAATGCACGCACACACCTTGCTTGCAGAGGGGAATCAGAGTGGCATAGTTCAGTGCCTCCTGTGTGCTGTGCACTCATTGACCAAAATAAGGAACAGATCTTCCAGTGCTTGAAGATCTCCTGAGCTACGTGCCCCACTTTGTGGGGCTGCCTGGGTTTGATTGTCAGTGTAACCAAAGCCACCAGCTCTGGGATCAGACAAACCTGGCTTCAAATCTGAGTCTGATAACTTTCAGGCTTTGTAATCTCTACAGGTTATATAATTTCATCTTCTGAAAAGTGGAGATCATAACGGTGCCCACATCATAAAAACACTGATATGGATGAAAGGAGACAAAGCAGAAAGTGCTCAGAGCAGGGTCCGACGGAGGAATGCTCTGTAAGCAGGGGGTGCTGCTCCATCGTTATCACCTTGCTCTGACTGTAGCCCTCTCTCGGGGAATGCTTCCCGGGCACCTGCTCATACCAGGCACTCAGCAGGCGCTGGGAACAGACAGGAAGCCATGCCTGCCTGAAGATGCTCACAGCCTGGGAAAGGGAAGGAATGTGGTGGAAACATACCTTCCCTGGGAGCCGACAGAGTGCGTCCCTTCCCTTCCCTATAAGACTGCTGTCATCTGCCTTTGGCTGGCCGGTTGCTGAAAATAGCTGGGTGCCTGGTTGCCCCATCCTCACCCTCCCTGCCTGTTCATCTTACACCGCACTGTTAGGGCTTGGGCTGGGAAGAGGAACCCAAGGTGCAACTCAAGGGAGGTGAGGGCAGGGTGGGTGCAGTGAAGCTGGGGACTTTTAGCAAGAAATGCAGCACTGCCAGCTCCAGGGCTGCGGGGCCCTGAGAGCCAGGGTCAGTTTCTCTGCACGTCTCCAGTAGTCTCCGAAGCCCAGCTTTCCCTATCCTCTGGAGGTCTGCTCTCACTGCTGGGTGCTCCTGCTCTTGGCTGGCTGTGGCCCAGTCCCCCTTCCCATTGGGCTCCAGCAGCAACCAGTCCCACTTTCCCACAACTCCGATCACAGCGCTAATCAAACACTGTGGAACCAGTGTGTGGCACCTGCCACTGAAGCTAGACTAACCTCCCTGGCGCCGAGTTGTTCACGCCTTAAGAAAGCCTCAGTGCCGTGCCCGGCACACGGTAGGCGCTCTGTGAACTCCGGGGATGGACACGAGGGATGAGACCCTGCCAATCTGCTGACATCAGTGGAGATCTGAGCCTCATCGCTGCCTCTCACCAAATTCCCTCAGTCGACTTATGCAAATCATCTGCCTCCCATCCTTTCGTCAGCTGGAGTGCGCCCCAACTGAGACGTATTTGGTGAACGACGACTTACTGAAATATTTAAAAGTATTTTTACTTGGGATGTTTAGCACAGCCTCGCTTCTACATATACATGGATGGCCCCCTCCCTCCGCGATCCGGGAGGCGGGTTTCACGCAGCGCCTCGCGCCGTGTCTGGCACACGCGACGTTCTTCAGCCTTGAAATTATCTCGGAGTCAGATGGGCCTCCCTGGATGTGCGCCCTACACGCTTACAAAATAGTCAGCATCAGAAGTATTTTTAATAAAAGCGAGTGAGCCAACAGAAGTGCCAGCTCACCCTCTCCTGCACAGACGCTTATCTGGGGCTGCTACCGCGCAGGCTGTGCCTTCTGTAATTACTTCCCCCTCCGTGAGTGTCGCCTGGAGACGTGTGTTCACGCCACAGCCCCTTTACTTGGTGGTTCTCTCCATCACCTCCAGGGCGAGGGGACAGGATCTCTGACATAGTCTGGTCCCAACCCCCCCCCCAAAAGAGACAAAAGGAAAAAAGTGGGATGATTGTTTTTTTTTAACGTAGCCTTCCCCTTTTCTTGTACCTGTGGCTTACCATCCCAGATCTTGGAGGCACAGCAGCCGCAGGATGGAGGTGGTGGGAAAAGCATTGGCTGATTTCGGTCCCCTGCACCTCCGCCTGGGAGCCCTGAGCAGAGGAGGGGTGGGGTGCAGTGGTGCACTTCAGCTCCGGGAGCCTCAGTTTCCTTTAAAATGGGCCAGTGCTATCCACCTTGGGTTGCTGTAAGGATTTAGTTAGGACGTGTATGCCTGGCTCAAATGGGAGATCTTTTTCATTTTGTTTTAACCACCACTGTCATTCTTGACGTGTGTGCGTGCTTTGCAGACTACAAAACGGTTTTCCAATCCGCTTGTGCTCTGAAAGCTCACGCTCCCAGTGAGCATGGTCTTGTTCCCATGACCCCACTCAAAGAGGAGGAAACTGGGGGTCAGAGGGGTAAAGACGGATCAGGGACAGAGCAGAAACTGGGTCCTGAGCTTCCGTCTTGTGCTGCCTCGGAAAGTGACAACAGCGATGAGCCAAGGTGGAAGGACCGTATCAATCCCAAATATCCCCAGGTGGAGGCATCCCTGAGGTGGGTGGAGTTGCGTTTGGTAGGAGCCTCAGGGAGGCATTACCATGGTGAAGGATGGTCCAGGGGCTCCTCCCCAACCTCTCCCCCCACCTGCTCCTGTACTACCAAGGAGTCCGTACATAGGGTCACACACGCTTCACCGCTACAAAGCTCAGCGCTTGACGCTTCTCACAGCCCGGCTATTCAGAGTTGAGGAAATGAGAATTAGGCAGGCTGGGGCCACTTCCAAAAGCGCCTCGCTAATATGGGGCAGCACTTGGGCGAGGACTCAGGTCTTCTAAATCTTCTCCAGCGTGCTAGTGATTAACACAAATACAAGCTACATTTATTGATTTTTTAAAAAATTAATAGACTTAGTTTTTTAGAACAAGTTTAGATTT